AAACTTATACCGTGTGTGATAAGATGTGTGTGTGTGTGTGTATATATATATATATATATAGTCTTTTGTCTGGTGAAAAAAATTTCCCTGGAACGTAACGCCCCCTATTTACATTAATTCTTATGGGGAAATTGGATTCACTTAACATTGTTTCGCTTAAAGTTGCATTTTTCAGGAACATAACTACAACGTTAAGCGAGGAGTTACTGTAGGAATGTACTTTAGCATGCTGCATAATCCTCAGCAGCTCCACACCCAAGATATGTTAAAGCATTTGTTTTGGGATTTTTGTGTGTGTCCTGTTACAAGTTTGGGGTGTGGCTCTTATACAGCAAAAACAAAACAAAAACAAAAACCCACTCTGCTCTCATTTCGTTATATGATCTGTATGAGGTAAAATGCTTTGATTATAAAATATTTAATAAATAATTCCAGTCATCAGACATAAATCAATTTGGCCGGAATGCAACATCACCAACGAATTATGAAATGTTGGATTCCATTTGGAAGTACAAAATGACATCTCATCAGGATGAAAAGGGGGGAAAAGAAACATCTTGGAATTCATAAACCACTGGTTCTTTTAATCATCGTAATGAATTAGATATTCCCCTTGACTTTTCCCTATTTTGGTGAGCTTCACAAATATCAGAATAACCTATATGCATATACAGAGAGCACAGGAATGGGAGTTAGTCTGCTTGGTTCTAATTCATGTTTTAAATCTAGCAACAGGAATTAGGATTTGCCACAATCTACAACCTGTACAATTCATCCATTTGACTTCGGGGAGGATTATACTGTGCAGAATCAGAGCAAGATTTGTCCCAATAAATATTGGAACAACCTTTCAATAGTACTTGGGGAAAACAACTTAACTAGTTTTAAGAGGGAGCCAGATAAATTTATGAATGGGATTATATGATGGGTTGTTTGATAGCAGGGGACTGGACTCAGTGACCTGGGAGGTCCTTTCCAGTCTTATGTTCTTATTCCTGGCTCTGCATGCCCATGATGTGCTCCAAGGCAAGGAACCTGGTCTTTTAAGTGTTGTAGAAAGCATCGTTTAGACTTAATGAAAATCTATGTTTAATAACAACTGCTGTGCCTACACATCTGTGAAATGGGCATAGTTCCTTATTGTATTTCTTAGCGGCGTTGTGAGACTTTAATAGTTCCTTAGATGAAGCAAACACCATTGTATTATTAATCTGTATTTTTCTTGTCACTCACTTCAAGTGGGGAGTACTGTTATCCGACTACACCCTGATAATAATTGGTTCTGTTCACCCACTGATGTCAATAGTGATTGGTTTATAGATCTTTACAGTGCCAATTATCCTGTTCGCAATTGTTTGGTTTGTAATTAGCCAAAAAGGAAATGGAGTGATCTTGTTTTTCTGGATTGTAGCAAGCTTCTCAGGGTATGCTATGCCTGTCTTATTTAATTTAATAAATAATGTTTTAACCACTGTGGTAAAAGAGGTGTCTTCAGGTGGCTGATTTACCTCTGAAGAAGTCTTCTTTGCTGGTTCAAGCAGAGAGGTGAGAGAGAGGCAGGACTTCTGGGTTCTGTACCTGCTTCTTGTAGTGACTTGCTACATAATCTTCTGCAAAGAATGTAGTGTCTCTGTGTATGTGTACCCAGCTGTAAAACACTGTAGGGATATTTATCTCCCAAGGTCATTCTGATTTATTAATGCTTGTAACATGTTTTAAGATCTTCAGGTATTACAGAAGTATCATTGATATATTGGGAGTATCATTGATACTATGGGTATATCAAATGGGCATGAATCAGCATTTCCCACTTTTAGATGCCACCAGCTTTCCTCATTTGAAAGAATGAAAGAAAAGTCCAAACTCCTTCTGCCTATTTTAGTGATGCTTAATTCAACAATGTTTTTAACACTCTTGGAGCTTCTAGGTAGAAGGTACTATAGGCATACAAAGTGGAAGTATGAATATAAAGTACCTGGCACAAATTTGTTTTAAATAAAGCTCTTTCTGGCAATGAGCATATCTTGTTCTGTATCAGAGGGGTAGCCGTGTTAGTCTGGATCTGTAAAAAGTGACAAAGAATCCTGTGGCACCTTATAGGCTAACAGACGTATTGAAGCATAGGCTTTTGTGGGTGAATACCCACTTCCGACGAAGTGGAATACCTGCATCCAACGAAGTGGGTATTCACCCACGAAAGCTTATGCTCCAATACATCTGTTACTCTATAAGGTGCCACAGAACACTCTGTTGCTTTTTACAGATCTTGTTCTGTTATATAACCAAGGATCCAGCCCTAGCAGTTCTGTCTGTCCTTCAGGACCCTATTCCATGGGCCCTGTAGGAGCTGCTGCTGCGATAGCAAGGCTGAGTCAGTCTTCAAGGTGAGGTGAGGTAAAGCCATCAGGGACTAGAGTGAAAGGTTTTTAAAGATAGCTATGGCAAGGGGTAAGTTTCAGGACTTTGGCTTGGTAGCTGGCACCCTATTGAATAAAGCTGTACTCCCTCCTTGTAAAGTGCCTGTACATTTATGGTACTATAGCAATCTCCAGTTAAATTAAAAGTTAAGTCTTAATAGAGAACTAGGGTGATCTGATGTCCCAATTTTATAGGGACAATCCCAATAGTTGAGGTTTTGTCTTGTACAGGGGCCTATGCCCACCCCCATTTTTTACACTTGTTAACTGGTCGATGGTCCCCCTATAGAGAAGCCTCTGAAGTGGACCTAGGACCAGCAGAAGCTTTTAACGCCCTGCCCGCGCCTGCGGGGGCCACTGCTGGTTACCGCGCTGTGCGCTGCAGAGGGTTGTTGCAAGGCCCGACTCGCGGACGGGCGCAGGGGGCGCTGTTTCGAACGGTGACGCTGGAGGTACAGTGAGCCCTGGCGTGCGGCAGGGGGCGCTGCGCCTCGGAACTCTCAGGTCCTGCGGGTTCCATCGGGGATTGTTACATGAGCGCCGCGTTCCGTGTCTCGGACATGCCCAAACAGCGCCTCGAACATAAACAATAGTCACCGGCCGCGGCTGGAGTTGCTGGCGGGGGAGCGCGCCAGAGCCGCTCGGCTGGAGACCCCGCGCTGGTTCTTTGGGGGCCTGCTACTGTCGGAGAAGCGGCTCCAGCCTCTACCCCGGTGCCCCCCATGGAGGGTCTGTACTCGCTGGGGGTGAGCGTGTTCTCCGACCAGGGCGGCAGGAAATACATGGAGGATGTGACCCAGATCGTGGTGGAGCCGGAGCTGCCGGCCGAAGGGGAGGAGGGCCCCGCTTACAAGGGCGGATCGGGGCCTGGAAGCCAGCGGGCGGCCGAGTCCAGGGCCAGGCACGACCCCCTGCCCGCAAGCTGCCGGGGGAGAGGCGCTAGCCCGAAGGCGGCGGAAGAGGAAGAGCCGTCCCCCGGCTCCAGCCGGTGCCTTCGCCGCTCCGTGGCCTTCTTCGCCGTGTGTGACGGGCACGGGGGCCGGGAGGCGGCCCAGTTCGCTCGGGAGAACCTCTGGGGTTTCATCAAGAAGCAGAAGGGATTCTGCTCCGCCGAGCCGGCCGAGGTGTGCGCGGCCCTGCGCAAAGGCTTCATTGCCTGCCACCGGGCCATGTGGAAAAAGCTGCGTAAGTTACAGGCGCTGCCAGATCGGATCAGCTTCTCCCTCGCTTCTACTCCTAATCTTCGTCGCCCCTCCGAATTGTTATCAGGGCGGCAGCCTCCCCCCTAGGGTGACCAGACA